CTAAACAAAAACAGCTGATTAGAAATGAAAAGGATGAAGATAACTCCATAGGTATGCAGTTGAATGGGATTACCGTGATCCATGTTTATTAAGATGTTTCATTTTCAAGCCGTTAAGTTAAAGGTGTGGAGTAAAAAGTTATAAGTTTGAGCTTATGAGCCTTCTTTAACTTAAAGCCCTCGTTTAATATCTTGGTAACTGTTCCAAAAAATATATTCAGCTTCATTGCAATGTGTTTTGGGGTCAGAGCGTTCTCTTTCGTAACCATAAATTGCACTTTACAGATTTCCTTGAGGTTGTGATTTTGGAGCCCGTTGTTGTCTTAAATGTTTTGCTATGGAGCATATCGAAAGCTGTCTTTTTACGAAGCATTGTTTCCTTTGGCTTTACATGGGTTAAAACCTCGCTTACGAACACCATTCCTTCGAAAAGGCTGTGACATATTTCCCCAGACATAAGTTTATACATGTCAGCATTGTGCATTAAGTTATCAAGAAATCGTCGTGAAACAAATATATAGGTGCTAAGTATTTCGCCCGTGGTGCCGTGTATTAGCATATACAAATTGTTCTTATAAAGTTCGATCAATTCTCTGTTTATTTATTCTTCACGTTGAACTGTATTGTAAAAAAGGCAAAGGAAAAATAGTTGCTTAAAATTGTGAGGAAAATATATAACATGTAATATTAGTGATCGTAACGGTACCAAATAGGTAAAGGTCTAATTTTTGTCGAGGTTTAAAACTTCTGTAACGTGCTCGTGATTTTGTGAAGTAAACACTGTCATTTGATAACAGTAGCGTAGAAATTTTGGAATGCACAGTAGTGCTGAACGGTTATCACTTTTGTTTTTCAGTTTGACATTTGCAAATAATCTCGATTAGATAACGATTACTCTAATTAGATCATTTTCAGAAAAAGAAAACGCGAAAAAGGTTTATGTATTTGCAGAAATCGGAGCTTTAAGTTGTGGTGTTATCATACCAAATATAAATCTAATACAACTGAATTGTGATTTAAAATCGGTGTTATTATGCAAGTACAAAAATGATAAACCAGATCTGTGTTTTAGATGCTACTGTGTTTTAAGAGTCACCATAAGAGTTTCTTTCTTAAGCCTGAACTATTCTTACATACCAGTATAAGTCTAGTAAAACTGGGTTGTACCTTAAGTATTATTGTATCAATAAAAGACCCAGAGGAACGAGAGTTTTGTTTCAAGTATTATCGTGTTTTAAGCATATTACCATACCTAACAAGGCTTAGCGGGATTTTCCGTAAGTTATATTATACCAATTTAAACGTAATAACTCATAATATAAAATATTATCAACTAAAAATTCAATTTTTCAAGCTGAACAAAGTTAGAGAATACTTTTACAATAACACAGAATACAATTTATTGAACTTTCCTGTGCGTACAGGTTTCAAAGTTGGTCATGAAGTACTTTTCACTTCTACTAGCTCCAAATTATTGAGAGTTATGTAGTTTTAGCGTGTTATATATGCAAAATCTTATGTGTGAAAAGCTCGTTTTAGTATTTCAATTAGCCCCTCAGTGGCTCAGGGGTAAGTCTGAAGGCTTATAACGCTGAAAACCGAGTTTCAATAAGAGACATTGGTAGGTTCAGCACAATAACTCATTATGTAGTTTTGTGCTTAACTACAAACAAACAAACAGAAGTATTTCAATTAACCAAACTCCTGCTGGCAAATATAAAATTATGCCTAAGAAAGGCATAAAGGTGTGCTTTAAAATCGTATAATATCTTAAAACATGTGATGTTATAATTATGATCACAAAGTATAAATGATCTAAAACGTAGCTACAATCATGTCGGCATGATCCTAATGAAACTGAACAAATACAGAGAAATTATTTGATTACTGCATCTAGAATACAACTTATATTATAGGATTTCGTCTAAGTTAATTTCGGTATTAAGATATAATTTCACAAGCATTAAGGATCAAAGTTAAAATTGTTTACGTATTTATATTTTAAAGTCTCAGATAACTCATGATGCACATTTTACATTTGAAACACATTAATGCTGTGTAATGGCTTTTTAGGCCTGGCATGACCTGGTCGCTGGGGCGCTCGATTCGAAATCTGTGAGTCGCGAATTCGAATTCCTCTCACCGAACATATCCGCCCTTTCAGCCGTGGGGGCGTTATAATGTGACGGTCAATCTCACTATTCGGTGGTATAAAAAGTAGCCCAAGTGTAGGCGGTGGGTGCTGCTGACTAGCTGCAATCCCTCTAGACTATCACTGCTAAATTATGGACGGCAAGCACAGACACCCCTCTAGTGGCTTTGAGCAAAATTCAAAACAAACCAAACGAACATAACAGCTTTAATGTGATGTTTTTTATGTTTGTATTAATAAATTTTTGTGGCACATTCCTCTCTTTCTAGATTAACAAATATCAACAACTTGAGGTCACATGATAAATCTACCATATTTCTTCTCAGGTACCAAAAATTCTATTTTATCAGCTTTTTTTTTTTTTTACGATTGTCGTGATAGTCCAATAAAGAAACTATATTTCTTATAACTGCGTAGTCTCACACTTAAAGATTCTTGTTCAAGACAGTTTAGCTGAGTGTACAATATTAAAGTGTTTGCTTCTTCTTTGGGTTAATGCTCTTTTGTACAATGAGAGTAAGGATAGTTTGGACTTCTGAAAGTAATAAAACGGCAGGAGTGCATCGGAGTGGAAGTTACAATAGAGTGTAAAGAGATTCAATTTTTTATTTTGTTTTTAATTTTAAAACTTCTTCCCAAAGCCACGTAGAAACACTGGTAAGAATATATATATAAGTACTGAAGACCATTGAAGAAAGCTTTTAGAGAAACATTTAGAAAAATGCTTTTATAGAGGAAGCAGAAATTTTGTAGATTTTAGTGGAGTTACCTAGTGGACTGTTAGTGAGTGTGCTGAGGCTAATGTTTTGATTGAAACTATCATTTAGAACATGCATAACATAAGGAAATATAACGAACGCAAATAACATAAAAATGATAATTTCGAATATTATTATTATCACTGTGTTAAATGACAAAACATACTTACCACTACTTTAGCCGGCTTGTTTTGTTTTTTTCAAGAAAGCTTTCTCATGTTTCTGTAACAAGATCATCAACGGAATTTTCGTGTTTTTTTTCGATTAGGAACGTTACCCTATTACAGTGACATATGATCTTCATAAGTTAAAACTAAAATATTACCCAAGGTATATTAGAGTTGCCTTATTCTAATGTTTATCACTGGTTATGATGAAAACAAAGGAAGCAGCGACAATCGGAAAAGGTTTTTCGATTATTTTCCCCACCAGAACTTCCTGTATTTGTTCCAGAGTTTTCGCGCAAAGCTACAAAAAAGGCCATGTACGCTTAGCTGTCAGTGTTTTTGAATGATAAACTAAAGGGAAGGCAGCTGATCAACATTACCCGCCGCCAACTCTTGTTCTGAACGTATAGTGAGGTTTAATAGTCACTCTTATGCAGCACCAGTGAGTCCAAAGTGTATAACACGTTTTTTCGGAAAGGGCCGCGAACCATAAACCCTCGGATTCAAGTCAAATCACCTAACCACTAGGCTACGTCCAGCCCATAACTTAGAATCACAACAATCACTTTTCAGGCTCTCCTAAAAAAATAAGCGCATGCTCAACACGCAGTATAAAATAGCATAATAAAGCTGTTCTCATTTCACCTGAATTCAATCCGTAAGATTTTTAGAGGAACATTTGCTCATCTGTAAAAGAACATTTTTTTATTTCATTGGCTAGGTCTCTTTTCAGTGGGTATTATGGTTTAGAAGTTTTTAATAATGTGTTTTTTTCTGTTTGAGAAATATCTTTCCGAACAATCTTAAGCATCTTGGAAGGTAGGATAGAAATATTTTTTTTCTGTAAAATGAAAATCTAGTTTTATAGTTCTAGAAATAATGAGGTTAATATCTTCAAATTTTGTGCAAGCCAAATCAACGAAAGGGATAATTAGACTTATTTTATTGAAATATTAATAACATACTTGAAATAATTTGTTTATTTGTTTTAATAGCAAAGCCACATTGGGCTATCTGCTGTGTCCACCGCGGGGAATCGAACCCCGGATTTTAGCGTTGTAAGTTTTTAAACTTACCGATGTCCCACCGGGAGATAAGCTAGCTCCCTACTTTTCAAAAAATCCTAGCTTACGTAAGGAAAACACTTGGAAGTTAATTTACAAATTCACATAAACTTTTTGTACAGTTTTAAAGATAACTAAACTCCTTTTTTTAAATAACTCGATATAATTTCATCGTTTATTTCAATTAAAATTTAAGTTGTTCTTGATAATTATCGTAAGTTAAGACCTTTTTTTTTCAAAGATTTTCGACTTTTAATATGTTTTATATTTTTATTATGTTAAATTAAAACTGTCGTTTTGATTTCTTGAATTAAAGCGTTTATAAAGTCATATTCTGTCATGTTCACGAACATTCCTTTGGCAAGCCGTTACGCTCTGCTTCTTCTTAAACCTAGGAAACATCATGTGTCTCAATACATCCTGTTGAAATTATCACGTTTACGCTGATGATGTTATTAAATAAAGGTTGACCAAACAGATAACTTAGTTAATATATCTACCTTGAACATTAGAAAGCAAAAAAAAAAACAATTACTGTGATGGGATAGAGAATGAATTGTTCAACATTTATAAATTAATAGCTGTCTATTGTAAAATATTTTGTAGTAGTAGAGATGTTAAATAACACTAAAAAGAAAATGTTTCTTAATGATAAAGGTATTATATACAAAAATTATGCAATTTACTAACATTCTACTTAGAATTCCACATCCATTGAAAATGCTTTATTTTAATACACAGTGAATCACTTATTACAATAATAAGAGATATACTTCGTGGGAATGAATATTAAAACACACCATTAAAGTTATGGATGATCACATTCATGAATGTGAATATTTGATCCTTCTATATTTTAGGAAATGAGCGTTAGAGACAAAACAAACCAACAGATCATCCCAAATAATTTCTTCTAATACTTGTTGACCGAACCAAGAAGAAAATAAATGACCTCGATGCCATCGTGGCGATTAGAAGTTACGTGTGACGATGACCAAATGTCATCGGAAGATCAGATTGCTGTTCCTTGTGACGACAAACGTCCAGCGTCTAGATGTAACGTAAGTAATTTATCATTCAAAGAGGTAGAAGAATGGCTGGATAGACATCACGAAATCGCAGCTGATTACTTTCTTCAGAAAGTGGATATTACTTTTATCAACCGATGGCTGATGACTCATGGATTTTTATCCATTCGCGAGTACATCAGCTCACGACGGAACTCGGACACACTAGTCATTAGTGATGAACAGTCGCCCGTGGAAAAAACTTCCGGTTATTTTAGTGACGGACCAGAACTAACGACAAGTCGACATTTGAAGTCAAAAAAGTTCCTTCGCCAGAATTTCGCTCGCTCAAAGAAGAAAAATGTATTTCGGAACTCCGAGCCAATCAGCCAGAGCGCCGATAGCCCAACCCATGCGAGGAGAAACAGTCTCAGAGACTTCAGGAGGTTTCTTTCTCTACCATCTCGATCTATTCACATTCTAAATCTCCTCATTGAATCCAAAGTTCGAATCCCTCGACTACCTTCGAAAGGAGTTGAATCAAAACGCGAACTTCGATTTTTAAATGAAAGACAATTCTTCTTGGAAAGTGTTCAAGAAATAGCCCATGACCTAGATGTTAAGAGTCTGACCCAAAAAATTATTACCAATTTGGCAGTACTTTTGGACAGTGATTGTGCATCTTTATATGTTATTGAAGGACCGAAAAACAGACGAATGCTGGTCTCTAAGGTTTTCGATGTGCACTGTGGGGCGGGTATTTTCTTACCTGGTTCAGGAAAGGACGATGAAATCAAAGTTCCATGGGGCACTGGAATCATAGGTCACGTAGCAAACACGGGGGAGACAGTGAATCTAAGAGATACCAATGAGGTATTGTTAGGTTTAACCTGTTATTTTTTAAACCTAGAAATGGTTATAAGCGTTTACTTTATGACTAAGAAGTAAAGGTTATATTGATTTCAATAACACCATCATTGAGTAAAATTTGATAATCTTAAGAAGTAAAGGTTATATTGATTTCAATAACACCATCATTGAGTAAAATTTGATAATCTTAAGAAGTAAAGGTTATATTGATTTCAATAACACCATCATTGAGTAAAATTTGATAATCCTAAGAAGTAAAGGTTATATTGATTTCACTAACACTATCATTGAGTAAAAAATTGATAATCCTAAGAAGTAAAGGTTATAATGATTTTAATAACACTATCATTGAGTAAAAAATTGATAATCCTAAGACGTGAAGGTTATATTGATTTTAATAACACTATCATTGAGTAAAAATTGATAGTCCTAAGAAGTAAAGGTTATGTTTATTTTAATAACACTGTTATTGAGAGTTTAGACCGTAGAAGAAACGTTCTATTAAAGGCATAAGATTACTTATTCAAAGAAATTATAAAACAGATTTTTAACCACACTTCAAGTATTTAAACAAAAATATTACTTATTATTAACATTATATTGCAGCATGCATTAGACGATTAATTAGTGTGCTCATTAATGTAGTATATGTTAATGCAATTTCTTTACTCGAGCATGCGTACATCTGTTCTCAAGAGTATCTTACAGTGTTAGAAAGAAGTCAACAAAACATTACCGTAACAATAACAAGCTAAATCTGCTCTACTTGTAGGATCCAAGGTATAATGACGAAGTTGATAAGATACGTGGGTACAGAACAGACACGTTACTCTGTATGCCCATTAGAAATGCTGATGACGAGATTATTGGCGTTGCCCAAGTTCTAAACAAAAATCTCCAAAATAGCGAGCAGCAGTTCACGGAAGAAGACGAAAAGGTATGATTATTAAACATTTGATCCAACCTATAAATACCGAATTGAAGAAGTAGTATCAGCAGTGTGTCTGCTTAAGTATTTGAATTCTTTTTCGATTAAACACACTTTGGAACAGTTTTCTTTATACGTGGTCACAGTTCTTTTATTACACGTAGAACATCAATGAGAAAAACTGCAAGATATCAAATACAGAAAAGCATTGGTAGAATGGCATCCATCTTTGGCTTAGAGCATACTATTTAGGTGGTGTGGCACCGAAATTGCTATACACAGACGAAGGCAACATCCAGAGGCTTCATAAAGCCCAAAGCATCTGTAACTGATAGAAAAAACAAACAAACAACAACAACAAAAAACCCGTGCATGTAAAACTAGAGGTTCTAGTCCTGTTAAACCTCTAGACTGGGGTTACTATATGTTTTATCATTTCTGTAACCAAGTTCAAAATTAATGAACAACTAACAAGGGCCGCTGAACTTGATCACAAAATGACTATTAAGTTAGCTGGAGTTAATGACCTTATAGTTTCTGAAGGCAAACGTCGTCTGATATGTTAGATCCAATTCATGAGGTCTGTGGGGAAGAAGATATAAGCTTTCCAACACAGCAAAGCAATGGATACAAAATGACCATCAACATGCAGCTAATCAGAGCAGTGTATTAGAGATTTCGGTACTTTGGAATCATTATTGTAATCTGGTAGACGAAGCAGGCATTAAAATCTATTATTCCTACATCAGTCACCGATCATCGTTTAAAAAAAAGAAGAAGAAGAAAAAGCTACAGTATCAAGTTGGTAAATTATTTCACTTCATGTTCTTGCCTGACCGATCTCTGGATAAAGACAAACGCTGTTAGTTCCATCCAAGTATAACTATGTACTCATCTCATATCTGAGAGATATATCTCAGGATGATGACATGTCGATCCCCGTTTACTGTCTTCACGAGGATATCTTTCTTTCACAGGTACATGTTGCATTAATGATTCAGAGAGATATTTCAATAAAGTTGATTCAGAGAGATATTTCAAAAAAGTTAATTCAGAGATATATTTGAACCAAGTTGGTTCAGAGAGGTATTTGAACAAAGTGGATTCAGAGAGATATTTCAACAAAGTTGATTCAGAGAGATATTTGAACAAAGTTGATTCAGAGAGATATTTAAACAAAGTTGATTCAGAGAGATATTTGAACAAAGTTGATTCAGAGAGATATTTGAACAAAGTTGATT